GAGGGGGGATCGGGATGGGGAATACATGTAAGTCACCCTTTTTAATGGTAAAAGTCAACTTATTTACTTTACAGGGTTCACACTAGTCAGTTATTACTTGAAAAGCATGAATTCTTCATACAAGCAGAAGCTGTGGAAGTATCGGGCTTCCTAGGTGGCGCAGTGGTAAAGAATCCACCTACCAGTGTGGGAGACGTGGGTTGGATCCTTGGGTTGGGAAGATCCCCTGGAGGAGCAAATGGCAACCTGCTCAAGTATTCTGGCCTGGGAAATCCCATGGACAGAGGAGCCTGGCGGGCTGCAGCCCATGGGGTCGCAAAAGAGTCAGACATGACTTTGTGACTAAACAATACAATGTACTTTAAAAAAAAAAAAGGAAACCTTGGGAGTTCCCTGGCCGTCTGGTAGTTCGGACTCTGCCCTCGCACTGCCAAGGGTGTGAGTTCAATCCGTGGTCCGGGAACTAAGATCGCACTGGCCACAAGGTGCAGCCCCCACCCCCCGCCAAGAAAAGGAACTCCTATAAGGAACCTTACCGTATAACGGAGAAAAACAAGCCTTTTCTTACCTAACTTTGTCAACAGCCTTCACTAGAGGTGTGGGGGTGAGGAGGCTGGGGGAGAAGGCCTGAGGAACTGCTGTAAAACTGTGGGCTCTACCCACGCACCCCAACTCCTGAGCCAGCGAGCAGCAACTGGAGGAAAGTCTTCACACTGCGAGGAGGGGGGCCCACGTGCCTCAGTGAACGCCCTGCGCACCGCAACTAAGACCTGCTGCGACCAAGTAAATGGACATCTACTAAAGTAAAACAAAACGCCGGGCTCTGTGCGGGACGGCCACGCAAGCCGCTGGCCCTGAGCCCTCAGTGGGTCTCATAGAGCGTGTGGCTAAGAGTGCGGCTCCTGGATCAGCCGGCCAGGATCTCAGTCCTGGTGCTGAGGCACAGGAGCCGTGGAGCAATGAGCATGCCCACTAGAAGTGGCAGTAAGTCATCCTCATACGAATAGGAATAAAGATGATGCCAGTTCTGATCATGAAGAGCTCCTGAGAGGATCCGGAGAGGCCACTGAAGAAAGAGGGGGGTAGTAAGCGTCACGTTCGAGGACACGGCACGGGGCAAGCTCAGGAGAGCGCCTGGTCCTGTGTCTGAGGCACAGGTGGGATGGCACCTGCGGAACAAAAGGCTCAGTTCATGGACGCGCTCCAGCTCCAGCCAGTGGGTGGCCAGAAGGATCTTATGCCTTATCTCATAATTATTTTATCTCGCCGCCTTTGTTCTTACTGACGAGAGAATAACAGACTTCCTGCCCCAAGGCAGGTGCACACCACCTTCCTGGATAGTCAGTGCGCTGCCAATCCTCGTTTCTTACAATTAAAAGTACAGATGAGTCATATTTATAGAGAGACTGTATAATTATGCAAACCATTTTCATATGCACTACCACTTTTGATCTCCATAAGAAACTTGTGGGGCAGAGAGAGGAAAGTGGGAATAAAAGTGTTCCCATTTTTATAGATGAGGAAAGTGAGCCTCATTCAGGGATAAAATCACCAAGGAAGTGGTAGAGACAGGATGAGATCAAGCCTACCCACTCCAGGGCACAGCCTCTTACTATGGAGGCCAGTTTCCTGTGATGTCCTTTTCTTTCTGGCCATATGGTCCCTGGGACCCTGGGCTCTCGGCCTGCTTTTATTTCTCCTAGAGAATTCAGTAGTGAGAATGCAGTAAATGTTAGCTGCAAATGCTATTACTGTCATTTCTGTTACATTTAAATCTACCACTGGGTATTCTACCTCTTTCTAGCATCCTTCTCCTAGGCTGACCCCAGGGTCAGATGTAGTCTGTCTGGCTCCCAGCTTCCTGGTTGCCCCCTGAGTCAAACTGAGAGGGCCCTTCTATTTTAGGTGATCTGCTGCTAATCTCTAAAAGAAAATAGGGAAGGGGAAACAAAAACAGTAAACATGCTGAGTCATTAGAAGCCTGGGTCTACAATGTTAACAGGCCCAGACATAGGTTAGCAAGAGAAAAGTATATTGAATGTACATAAAAAATACTTCCAACTACCTTTTTTCCCTTTCCAATTTAAAGTGAGGCTGACAACCTGAAACATCGTAAGTCAACTATACTTCAATAAAATATATATAGTTAAAAAAATAAATAAAATGAGGCTTAAAAAAAAATTGGCACGGGGTTTTATAAGCTATCAGCAAAACTGTCTGATGAGGACTTGTCTGAGAAAGCAAGCCACAGAAAACAAAAACCAATAAAAGTTATTATTTTTCTGGGCTTTCTACTGTCCAAAGTAGCCATAGAATAAATAAAAAGTGGAACAGATTATGCATTTGTTTTGCTTAAAATGCATTTTCCTTCTTTTCTAAATAAATATAATATGAAGCGGTGGCTAACAAGAGTTACTCACTGAGGGTGAGCTGAACCAAGACAGACTAAAAATAAAAAACAATCTACGTTCCCTGGTTCTCAATGATGGCGCGAGTTGGGGAAGGCTGTTGCCAGCCTGTAGGCGTATTTATAAAGACCACAGCCTGTTCTCTTGTCAGAATCCACTAACTTCCACCAAGGATGATGCATTTCTGGCTACCCATGAACTAAAAAAACAGACTTCACAAACAAAAACAGCAGGAAGCAGAGAGACGGCTGGATGTAGACAAACATATACATTTCTTGAGACGAATCCACCTTTGTCTTTCCTGCTGTTTTCTGTCTTCTGTGGGCATATATAATGAACCATATCTATAATTATATGTATATGTGTGGGTCAGAGGTGTCCAGAGACAGAGCGTGTCTGACTTTTTGGGAGTGGATGGGAAAGGAAACTGATATTAGCAGTTTCTGTTCCTTAAAGGCATCCTCTTTGTCAAAGTATGGTTTCCCTGGGAGAAGAGTCTTTGCCTGTGACATGAGTGAATCACTCATCTTACTTTAATAAAAATGTGAACCAAACGCTATCGGCTCTCCATCCTGAGAAATGACACGATGGGTCAGGCTATCTCAACTCGGATCCTCATCTTTCAGTGCAGCTGGCGGGCAGACAAAAGGAAAGGGAAAAGATAAAAAAAAAAATACCCCAGTGGCATCAAAGGATGCATCCACCCAGTTTCTTTCAGTCATAAATATGCTAGAAGACAAAGTCTGGTTTCACAGAATTTGGATAAGGTACTTGGTGTGCCCACTGACTTTTTAAAAAATATTTGGCTGCTTCAAGTCTTAGTTTCAGAGCACAGACTCTCTAGTGGCGGTGCTTGGGCTTAGTTGCTCCGAGGCATGTAGGATCTTGGTGCCCTGACCAGGGATCTCACGCGTGTCCCCTGCATTGCAAGGCAGATTATTCATCCCCGAGGAAGTCCCAACTGGGCACCAGCCCTTTGTACCTCAGTTTCTTCCTCTGTCATGCCTCACATATAAATGATCGGGGTTGATTAGACTAAGTTTAAATGTGTTTTAAAGTATATAAGCATTACACCTTTTGAATTTTGTCACATTCATGTATAACCCATTTTAGAAAAATCAAACAAAAATATGAGCAGTGGGCAGACACCAACGGCTCTTAAAAAAGTGAGACCACAGAAAAAGGAAAAAAAAAAAAGAAGAAAAAAAAGTAAGACCATTCACAACTATATAAAAAAGTGCAAATTATTTGTCTCAATAATCCTCAGGGTTCTATTTGGAGCTAGCATTCTAGGATTCGTTAACTGTAATTCTCTGTGGTTAAGGCAGTAACCTAAAAAACAGGGAGGACATAGTTTGAATCTAGGTAGCACAGAACTTGCTAGAAGAGTGGGGATGTTATAAACCCACACTAGTGCAGCACACGCAGTCACTGAGGGCATGAGCTTTGGAATTAAGGCAGATCTGAGTTCAAAATACCCGTTATTTCCGTGCTATGTGGCATCGGCAAAACTCTTTGAGCACTAGCTTTCCCATCTGTAAAATAGGGTAAGAGTTCATCCTTCTCGGACGCCATCCAGCGGGGGCCCAGACTGCATCTCTTACCCAGCCCTTGCTCAGACCATCCAGCCCCGAGGCTTTGCCGCTTCTTGACTGTGTCGCGCGTGTCCCTGTCTCGGGCTTTCGTGCCTGCTGTCTTCACTTGCCCCTGTATTGCGCTGACTTCAGGTCTCTCCTCAAATGCAATCCTAGCAGTGAAGCCTTTGGGGCCGTAGTATTTAAAACTGCCACTCCCCTATCCCCCACCTCGTTCTCTTGCTTTATTTTGCTCCATAGTACTTATCACTGTATGATGTACTACATATTTTTTAACTGTATTACCTACTAGGATACAGTAGCATTCTATTTATCTCCCTACTAGAATGTAAGCTCCAGGAAGGCAAAGATTTTGATTCTTTGGTTCCCAATAAGTAATTGTTAGATGAACAAGACTTCCGTGATGATTAAGTGAGATGATACTTGGGAAGCTCTTGGCATTCACTGAGACAGAATATGACTGGAACACAGGGTCTGTGTGGTTTGAACTGTATTTTTTAATTTTTTGAGTTAAAACATTAGAAAATCAAGACAATCCCCATAATACAATCTAGGTTTCAGATAGCCCTGTAAAAACTCCTATAAAAATAATTTTATTTTATTTCTGGCTGTGCCGGGTCTTTGTTGCCATTATTTCTCTAACTGCAGAGAGCGGGGGCTTCTCTCTAGACGCAGTGTGCGAGTTCCTCATTGCGCCGGCTTCTCTTGTTGCAGAGCATGGGCTCTCGGGTGCACAGGCTTCAGTAGTCTCAGCTCCTGGGCTTAATTGCTCCTCGACATGTGGGATCAATCTTCCAGGATCACGGATAGAACCTGTGTCTCCTGCATTGGCAGGTGGATTCTTTACCACTGAGCCACCAGGGAAGCCCTAAAAAAATTATTTTTAGAAAGGCCATTCCTTCACGGCCACGACCAGCTGAGCTGGGCAGAGGACGGACGCCCTTGTCAAGTACCCACAACACATTGCACTGAGTAACACCCGTGCTCCATATATTACCTGTTTGGCTGCTGCAGGCATGCGAATTTTCAACCCCAGATGTAGAATTTCTTTCTGGAAGCATTTACGATAAAGATTTGAGCCATCTGACTAAACAAGTTGAAGAAGAAAAGAAATAAACTAGATAACCTCATAATTATTCAGGGAGAGAGCAAAAAAAAAAAAATTGTATACAGTATGATCCCATCTTTGCTTTAAAAGGAAAAAAAAAAAAGCTATAAACTTGCACAGAAAAAAGAACGGGCTTCATCAAAGTGTTAATAATGGTGGTTAACTCTGGGTTTGGGGATTATGGGTGATTTGCATTTTCTTACAATCAGAATAAAATGTACTTCACAAAAGCCACGCAGACTAATGGTATGAAAATTATATCTCAGTAAAGCTGTCAAAGCAAGCAAGCAGACCAGCCAGCCACCCTGAGAAAATGCCAATCCTGCATCTTCCTTCAGAAAGGCACTTCTGTGTTCCTCATTCTCCGTGGCTCTGTCCGCCCTCTCTAAGTCACTTGCTTTGGTCCATAATGCAAAGAGTTTGCAAAGCTGATAATCATCTTTTAAAATCCTTTACATGCTTCTGGATCTTGTTATAATGCTGCTTGGCTCTGCCTCATTCATGCTCACAGTTTGGGCCCATGGGGCACAGTAAGCAGGGGTCGGGGTGGCGGGGAGACACCTATCAAAGTCAGGGCTAAAACAGATCAGTTACAATACTAATCAGACTTCATTGCCTTTTAGTCACAATTATTGATGGTTTTCCTTCCTTTCTACAGCCCACGATGATTCTGTTTCCTCCTGGGAACAGTGTGGCTGAGCAGACGGGAAGGGAGGCTCTGGAGACTTGGAACCCTGCCTTGGCTCTGCCAGGCTACCTCACTGGAGCAAGCTCCTTACTCTTTAGGCTTCAGTTTCTTCATCTGTAAAATGGAGGTAACGATCGGTTACCTGCTTGAGAGCAAGAGGCGAGATCTATGTCCTTATGATCGCCAAGGCTCTTTGAAGTTAAACAGCCACAAAATGGACTAAATTCTGATCCTGAGAACAAAAATGGATTTTCCAGGGGTCTGTACCCTATACAATAATAGCTAATGCATTTTAAGGTTTTTTTTTTTTGATGTGGACCATTTTTAAAGTCTTTATTGAATTTGTTACAATATTTTTTATGTTTTTATGCTCCTTTTTTATGTTTTGGTTTTTTGGCCATGAGGCATGTGGGAATCTCAACTCCCTGACCAGTGAGGGATCAGAACCCGCACACTCTACATTGGATAGTGGAATCTTAACCCCTGGGCCACCAAGGAAGTCCCACCAAATGTATTTACAACTTAACTAATAGGAGCTCTCAAATATCTAGATGCCAATAAGCCTCTAAGTAGGCAAAACAGATGTCACAAAGTTCACACACTAAAGCGTATGTGGTTAACGTACAGGTTTTCGAGAAATGCCCTCATTATTTTCACAGTTTTTAATAAGCTTGGCCATCTAGTTTCTAAGCCCAGTACAGACTAGACAAAGTAACCCGGGAGAGGGGAAGGAAGTATAAAAGGCAAGGGCTAGGACAGCAATGAGAAATTAGGCATTAACCACCTGATAGAAACTTGATCGAGAAAGAGGAGAAATAATTAAAAGACAATTGATGCTTTTAAGGTACACTTCCATGAGCTTTGATGGCAGCAGTGTTTTCCAGCATAATGTAATTCAGAAGTATATACTTAGACACAAGATAAGTTCTGTTTATGAAATGCAGGGGGATAAAAAGGAATGCAGAGAGTGGTATTATATATTTATTTAAATGTATTTTGAAAAAAATTCCCATGTAAGTTATATTAAAAACAGTAAAAAAATTTTGGTACTCTAACTGTAAAACAGAAGGTTGTAAAATGACAAAACTCTCCTGAGTTTTTCTATGTTTACTGTTTCTAAGCCACTTATTTATCACTTTTTATCCACTGCCTCCTGATGTTGGTTATCTGTTTTTAAACTACCTTCCTGGGTTCTATACACACATTACCTCATTTAATCCCTCATTACTGTCATATTAGGTAAATATTGCTGTTCTCATTTTAGTTGCAGACACGGGAGGTTAAGTCATTTGCCATTCCAGCTTTGAACCATGGGTCTGCCTGAATCTAAAGCCTGTGGTTTTTACTATTTCATGATTTATTAATAATATATGTGTCTGGCTGCCCCATTACTACCAAAAGATTGAATCTTGAGAGTGAGGACTCCGTCTCACTTGCTTTTATATGCCACTGAGACTGGTACGTAGTAGGCACTCAGAACATGTCCCATGGACTTCGATTCTACACCTCCTTATATAGATTCCAAACCCTTAAATGAAATATAGTATATCCCAATGTCTCTCCAAGTATGGTTCATGGAGCATCTGTATTCCAGACCTACAGAATCAGACTCCTCAGGGTTAGGATGTGTGAATGTGCCTTTAAATAAATAGCTCAGGTGACTTTTAACGTGTATCCAGGTTTGATGGGCGGACTTCCCTGATGGTACAGTGGGTAAGGATCTGCCTGCTGATGCAGGAGACATGGGTTTGACCCCTCGCCTGGGAAGATCCCACATGCTGCTGAGCAATAAAAGCTGGAGCACCACATGTACTGAGCCCCTGTGCTCAGCCACTGAAGCCTGAGTGCCCAGAGCTGGTGCTCCGCAACTAGGGGAGCCGCCACGAGAGGAGCCCCCGAACCCCAGAGAGGAGCAGCCCCCGCTCGCGGCAGCTAGAGGAAGCCTGCCTGCAGCAGTGAAGACCCAGTGCGACCACAAATAAATAAACTAAGAACAACCTCTTTTAAAATAATGTTAAAAAAAAGTTTGCTGGGACTTCCCTGGTGGTCCAATGGTTAGGACTCTGCTTTCTAACCAGGGGGCGTGGGTTCCATCCCTGGTCAGGGAACTAAGATTCTGCATGTTGGATATGGAGCCACCAAAAAATTAAAAAAAACAAAAAGTCTGAGAACTATTGACCTAGCGTTTGAAAGCACTTTCTTTGGAGTGAGTCAATCCTGGCTTCAGATCTCAGCTCCATTACTTAATAGCTGAGTGATGTGGGCAAATTAGTTACTTACATTCTTTGAGCTTTAATTCCATCATCTTTCAAATGGAAACAACAGAAACATCCACCTCACAGGATCCTTGAAGGGGCAAAGTTCATCCACTTGGCAGGAATCATGGAACATCTAAAATGTGCCCGATACTGCTTTTTAGGTGCTTAGGATATATTAGGGAACAAACAGACAAGTTCTTTGCCCTCCTGGAGCTTACCTTATGTTGGGAGAAGACAGATAAACAAAATAATTAACTATATAGTAAGTAAGTTGAGTGGAAAAAATAGAATAGAGCAAGTTGGAGAAGGCGTGTGAGGCAGCAGTTGTAGCATCATTTTATAGAAAGGAGTCTAGTTAAGTTTCATGAAGATGGCACCAAGCAAAGACTTGAAGTTAAAAAGAAACTTTGGCAGCCACCTGAGGGAAAAGCATTCCCGCCACTGCAAAGGCCGCGTGGAGGGAATGTGCCTGTTGGGTGAGAGGGACAGCAGAGAAGCCAGTGCAGCTACAGCCAGAACAAAGCAGAAAGGACTAAGGAATGGGGCTGGAGAAATAACGGTGGTCAGTTCATGTGTGGCTTTTTAGGCCTACACGTAAGGATTAAATAAGATAGTCATGTTAGGTGCATAGAACAGTAAGTGGTACGTAGCAAACATTTACCTACATCTGTATTGACATGAATAACTTCTGGTCCCTAAGTAGAGCTAGTCTGGAAGGTCAGGCTTCAGGGACAACAGCACCTTTTATGTGCTTTGGTGCGGTTTCAGAGCCCTTCAACGTTTCCCAGGGTACAGAACTCAAACAGATCAAAGGCCTGGGTGATCCCCAGCAGCCAGTAGAGATGGTTAATTCTCTGCAGGTGCTCAGAAAACTGAACTAACAGAAACACACAAAGTCAACACAGCATCAATAAAAGACAGGGAGAGAGTGGGGTGTGGATGGGGTGGGCTTGGCTAAAGGCTGAAACCAAGAGAAGAGTCGTTAGTAACGTAACAGAAGAAGCAGTGGAGCGTGGAAGCGTCACCTACGGCAGATGAAACACACTCTAATGTCAATGAGACCGCAAAGTCCAGAGAATAATGACTACAGACTGCCGGGGAGTGAGCCAGGAAGCCCAGCAACATGAACGCACTTGCATGGGGGGAAAAACAAATTAAGAGATTCAGGCAAAACTATCCCATTTCCTGGTGGAGGAGGCTCTTTAATCTTTAATATCTCTCTCCTGACACGAGGCACGGATCTTGCCCCAACAAGACAAAGGATGGTGTCTGTGCAGTTAGCACTCCTCATTCCAGCAAAGGACTTCTGAGATGACTACCATGTGGCTGCCAGGCTAAAAGGATGCATTGTCTCAGTCCTACGGTTTCACTGCCGGGCATGGCTGTGTGCTCGGTCGCTAAGTCGTCTGACTCTTTGTGACCCCACGGACTGTACCCCGCCAGGCTCCTCTGTCCATGGGATTCTCCAGGCAAGAATGCTGGAGTGGGTTGCCATTTCCTCCTCTAGGGACCTTCCCGACCCCAGGGAACAAACCTGCATCTCCCGCACTGGCAGGCGGGTTCTTTACCAATGAGCCACCTGGAAAGCCCTTCACAGCTGGGCAGGTGGGAGCTGAGACACGCCCGCCCACTCCAGGGCTCTCCCAGGGGAAAGAGCTGCAGCTCTGGAGAGGAATGTGGGCTCTTTGGGACCTGGAGGCAAGCAAGGGTGTAATAAAGACCAGATAAAGATACCCAGGCTGGGCCTTAAGCTACTGTACATCTTGGTGCCCTCGGGAAAGCTAAGCGGGGGGCACTATCCAGTGGAAATGTGGAAGTGGGCATCCTTTGAGGCCTCAGTTAGGCCAGCTTGGCCGGGAAGGGTGCCGTGTTGGTCTCCATGACCCTGACCTAACCTACTCAAAAGGGAGCAGTTTAGTCTGAGTCAGAGGAAGTGAAGAGAACAACTTACTTTCTGTGATGTTTGACTCAACACATTTGGTTTGGAATTAAGACCATTATGAAAACCAACATGGGACACCCCTGGGCTTTTATTCCATTCCTCAAACTATGTGTCAGTCTGCCTTCACCATCTCCTGAGAGAAACCATATATTTGCTTTGGGAGTTCCTAATTGCTGTATTCCTACCTATTTCTTCAGTTAATAAATATTGAGTGCCCACTGTGTTCCAGGGGTGAGGCAAGGCTCTGCAGGAAGAGGAATGGGTAAGACAAAAGTTCCTATTTTTATGGAGCTTACTCTCTAGCGTGGGTGCGTGGGGGAAGAGATAGATAAATGAAATACTTGCAGAAAGTGGGAAGGGCAATGGCATAAGTGAAACAGGGTGGTGTGATGTGGAGTGACTGAACATGAGACATTAGATGGGGCGGTCAAGGCGCAGGTGTCGTCTGAGCTGGAGCCTGGCCGGATGAGAAGGGGCCAGGCGTGCAATCGGGGGGAGCGCCAACAGCACGCGCACAGCCAGGAGTGGGAAGGGGCAGCAAGACTGCTTTGCTTCCCGGGGGCCTGCTCTGCACACAAGTACGACTTCTCTGTCTCTGGCTGTGCTACAATCTGCTAAAGAAATTGCTCTAGGAGGCCTGGGAAAGGAATGCTAGTGAATGAAATGGAATTCCAAGGCTGACCGATTAGTACTGGAGTCAGCACTGACCTTGGGGGAAGGGTTGGGAGCGCCAGTAGGTACTCTAATCCCCGAGCAAAGATAAGGCAAGGGCTGTAGGAACGAATTCCCTCCCACCCTCCCTGCTTTGTGGCTGCTCTTCCCTACTGTGGTTAACTGGCAAAGCGGCTCGTGTGAATGAGCGCAGGATGTCCAGGGAGCAGCACTGTTTCACACATCATCATTTCAAGTCACCAGCCGGACAGGATTTAGCACTCTGTGTCTGGCAGCAACCAGCAGGGAAGCGGAGAGAATTCCATTGGACTGTCCAGAGCATCTGACCCACAAATGAGGAGTGAGGAGAGCATTAAAACCAAACAAAACAACAACCATTCCTGAATGGTAGAGTGAGCCAATTCGACATCGAACAGAGACACACAAATCCGGGCGCCTCTGAGGCAAAAGGTCAATTTCTTGTGCTGGTCCCTGATCGTCAGAATCCAAGATCTTGAGCTGAGCTAGGTCCCTCATTTCCAAGCAGAGTTGGGCCAGATGGGCTGCTCAAGGTCAATACTCTCTGGTCTGACTCCAGAGGAGCCTCATGGCTGCAGTGGATGCTAGCGAGGTCGGTGGGAGAGGAAGAGGTGCAGGCAGAAGACAGGACGTGTCCTCTAAAGATACAAGTTCTGATTGCTTGGTTTTTCAGTTGAAGAAACTGATATTTGCAGCCAGATCTTTATCTTTGGCAAGCCCACCACAGGTCCCGGGATTGGGATGAAGGGACAGAATAAAGGAAAGGAGGAAATCCCCATCTAATGAGACGTAGGTGGGACTGAACTGTCCCGCCTTGCAGATTTCTGAACTTTCTAGTTCTCTCCATCAAGTCCAAGCCCACCTCCCACGCCTCATCCTTCTCTCCTCTAAGTCCTTCCACACAGCTGTTAGGTAAGATTTAGTAGACAGAATGTGTTTGCAAAATCTGTTTTGTTCATTGGAACATGTTTATCTAGAAGGAAAGGGAGAAAAAAAAACCACGAAAAAACAACCCTGTTCCTTCTCGGTATTTACTTTTTGGTGACTGTCTTCTGGGATTGGGAACTGGATAAACAGATGGCCTTCATGGAAGGAATCAGGCGAAACGCCAGGGTGTGTGTATATATCTTGGTCTCAGTGTATACATGGCAAATGGTCCCCGTCCACACAGCTGTGCTGGTTTTGGAGGGCCATGAGGGGACAGTACCCTCTGGACGTGAGGACTCCCACCGCTCCAAGGTGTGGTGCTCCAAGGACCCCCTCCAAGGAGCACCTCCCTGGCAGAATCTCGGGCCATGGGGTGCCCGACGGTTTATAGAATTATAACCCCAGATACGTGACCGTGATTTCATTTGCTGGCCTCTGACTGTGGTGACTAAGGGTTGTGCCAGATTCAAAACTGTTGCTTATGAGTTGTGCTGGGTTTGTCTGGCGTATGTGGGCGCCCGCAACGTGCTGAGTGTTCGCACGGCCCGTAGAGCGTGGAGCACCTCGGGATACACTGGATGCCTCTGTGCTGAGGGCGTTCCCACGAGGGTCGTGGTTGTGTTGTGCGTGCGTGCACAGAAGTCATGGAAGGCCTGAAATACGATTATTTTCCAGGCCATGGAGAAAGCATAACTGCCAGAGGGAATAGGGAACAGCGATCCCTTCTGTGTCCCCCAAGCTGACAGTGACTTGTCGGGGGAGTGGAGAAGCAGTGTCCCTCCTAATTTTTTGACCTCCGATATAAAGGGCTCCCCTGGTGGCTCAGATGATGAAGACTCTGCCTGCAGTGCAGGGGACCCAGGTTCGAGCCCTGGATTGGGAAGATTCCCTGGAGAAGGGAATGGCAACCCACTCCAGTATTCTTGCCTTAAGAATTCCATGAACAGAGGAGCCTGGCAGGCTACAGTCCATGATGTCTCAGAGAGTTGGACATGACTGAGAGACTAATACACACACACACACACACACACACACACACACACATGTCTACTGCAGGGGGTGGTGATGCAGGAAGTAACTCTTTCATAATAAGAATGTTTCAATTCCAAGGTTTGAAGACGTCTCATTGTATTTCTAATAGTCAAATTAAAGAAAAAAAATCTTGATTTGCTTCACAGAAAAGGGTTTGGGTGGATGTTTTTTCTCACCCCTGGCAAAAATGCCTTTAAACGACCACGAAAAGAAAAGATGACCGCACTGCCCAGGCAGAGAATTGGGGCCAAACAGCATCAACTCAAAACCTCCAGAAACCCCAAACAACAACAGCAGCAAACACTCCCCAGGAGAAAGTGGCTGCATTCGTCAGGTTCAGGTAGCTCAAAGACAAGAACATGAAATGATTAGACTCTAAGAGAGCAAGGTGCTGGAGGGAATGGGACCTCACAGAGACAGAACAAAAGATCCCGTTTCTCACAAAGCCTGTGCAGACCTTTAGACTACAGTGAGCGGTGAGCGTGAGGGATGCCGCCCAGGAAATGAAAGGACTCCCTCGTTCCTCTCCAGTGAGCGGAGCCCAGGAGGAGTGTTCCAGGGCACTCTCACAAACACTCTTCAATAACAGCATCCAGAGCCTTTGATTCAAGGAACATGCTGAAGAATAAACAGCCTATTAATCTGAGTTTTCTGGTGTGCCTGATTATACAAAACAGCAGTGAACTAACCCCTTGGCTCTCGCCCACATCCTGATGGTGCACCATCCACTGCTCCGTTCCACCCCTCCGCTCCCTGTCTCCACCGCTGCATGCAATTTGTCCCTGGAAAAGCTTCAGGTTTGGGGGCTCTGGTGGTTTCAACTAAGGATGCCGAGGCCCAGCCCCGGGTGCAAAGAACTGGAAACAGCGCATCCTTGTTTGGCCATGAGCAGCAAAACCATGTGACTTCGGGCTCAAACGAGAACTGTGTGGTAGTGCGCCTGGGTGAGGAGCCGGAGTCATCAGTCTGCCTCTTTCTGAGCCAAGCTGACAGCCGCAGGCCTGGGAAAGGAAGGCCCAGTTTCAATTGCTTCCCAGTCCTGGTTACCTTGGTGGCGGGAAGGGTGGGCTTTGGGTGCCGCTCTGTGGAAATATTCCTGGGCGCTTTGCCTAAATAACAATGACCAAGCAAGGTCCCTGAGTTTTCAAGGAGGAAAGGAGAAGAAAGGTAAGTGACCGTTTCACTCTCAGACCCTTTCTCTATGAGTTGTTCTTTAAAAACAACGAGGTATAGCTTTGGTGATAACAACCATTTGATGAAGCATCAGGTCCTCCTTCCCGCCCCCAGGGAAATCATAGATAAAGAAGCCGATAGTCTGAACGGTTAAGTAATAAACCAGGTTCGGTTGTTGAAACAGTATGATTGAGGCTAAGATCATAGGCTCAAATCAGCCCTGGGAGCCAGGTGGCTTCTTTGTGTCCACAGTCACCAATCTCACACAGGTGTGTGCTTAATCGTAAAAGGAACTGACCTGGTGAGCTGGATAAATCAGTATCAGTGCTATTCAACACACACATAGACACACACACACACACACACACACAACCTCAAAGCACACATCCCACTGACCTCAAGTTTATACACACAGGAAAACATGAAACTTTTTCAGAAAGTATTATAGAAAGGGTCCTTTCTAAAAATAATTTCAAAGAGATGCTTTGATTAAAAAGAAATTAATTCTAAAGTCCTCTGACTCTACTTTCAGAGAACCATATGGTATTTGGTCCGCTCAACTGGAGAGGAGAGGACAAGCGTCTTATAAAAGAGATGGGACAGCACAGAAGCTCACATACTTCCCGTGAGGGATGCTGAGATGCCACAGGATGCAGTGATTCGCCTGGGACTTGCAAAAAGGAGAGGCCTTGCAGACAGACAGGGGGAGCTCGGCTGCTGGCTGCATGTGATCTTAGACGCGTCACATAAGATCAGTGAGCTTCACTCCCTCACCTGTGAGATGGGAATCATCCTCATATGGCTAGTATGAGGGTTATATAACATACGGAAAAGGCTTCGTGCAGAGCCTGGGACACAATAAGTGCTCAGTAAACTACAGGCGTACTCATCACTCTCTGTGTGTGTGAGTCGCTCAGTCGTGGCCGACTCTTTTCAGCCCCAGGAACTATAGCTCGCCAGGCTCCTCTGTCCATGGGGTTCTCCAGGCAAGAATCCTGAGGTGGGTTGCCATTCCCTTCTCCAGGGGATCTTCCCGACCCAGGGAACAAATGTGGGTCTCCCACATTTTGGGCAGATTCTATACCCCTTGAGCCACCACCAGGCACAGGAATCAAACACGGCTCTGGGGAGGGACCTAAGGGGCAGTGGGCACACGAGCTTCATGAAACAGGAGTTTCTTCATCTCTTGATTGGGCTGGGCTTAGAAGGCCTCCACAGCGTCCCTTAGTACACTGGAAACAAGAGCTTGCATTTCATGGGGTTATTGATGCAAGGGCCATGAGAGATTCAATCGTGGTACTCTGGGGATGTCCTTTTGGACTTGGGAACTGCAGACGGACTTGGCATTTTCCCACCCCAGAGTGTGGCTGAGCAGATACAACCTTCTTCCTCACGGCTTCCACCTGTTGAGACAAACAGATGTCTCTGAACACAAGAGGGGCCATGCAAGCAGAGATCTGGTGTCAGACAGCCTTTCCCTGCAGCATTCCTGGGGTGGTGAAACGACAAACATTCCAGCAGGCTGAGTTGAGTCCTTCCTGCCCTGTAACTGGGGGCCTTATGAAGCTGCTTCTTGTGATCTGAGCCAGTAGGACCTCACTCCAAGGCGATGGGGTGGACTTCATTAATATTGATGAGCTGCAGCTCGTTAACCTCATTTGATGTTTATTTACAACCATTCTTCTCATATGCTAACGAGTGACACTGGGCTCTTCAGATAGAAAGGAGAGAACTGGACCCTCTCTGCCAGCATCTCCTTGGCAAACTCCTGTCCCTTGCCACAGAAGTTTGCGCAGAGGGAAGGATGCCAAATGGAGGGAATGCAGCAGTGAGGACAAAATGATGTGAAAAGAATGTCTGCAATGTGATGGGGGAGAGAGAGCAGCCCAGCTGCTGGGGCCACGGGGTGACCCAGTGGGTAACAGAAAGAAGCTGAAGGGTGGGGATCCAGGGACCGATGAAAGGGCCAATAGGTTAGGGTTTGGAACTGGGGTGGGAGGTGGAGATGAGTGGGTCCCCTGGGCGTCAGTGGCCTTGAAGGCCTCTCTCCAGGTCATTTCACTTTCTTCTATGATCTTAAGGAAATCAACAAACAGGGGCTGGGGTAGATTTCTGTAAGGCAGTTAAATGCCCACAGTAATGAATGCTTAGTAAAGGCTTAGGCTTGGGGAAAGAGCACTCATTGTCCAGAACATCAATGTGAAATGGGGAAGCAGGGAGGCAAAAAAATCACTTTCTCTTTTCTCCAAGTTATGGGTATGTTATGTATATCAAAGAACAGGATGATGAAAGAAGAGGCAGAGATGGTGGTGGTGGGGGAAATAATTTTTAAAAATATGGCCAAGACTTCCCTGGTGTCCAGTGGTTAGGAGTTTGCCTGCCAATGCAGGGGACAGGGGTTCCATCTCTGGGCTGGGAAGACCCCACATGATGTGGGGCAGCTTAGTCTGTGGGCCGCAACAACTGAAGCCCTCGCAGCTGGGGCCTGTGCTCCACAACAAGAGAAGCCCCCGCGATGAGGGGCCTGCCAACCACAAGGAGCAGCCCACTAGAGGATGCCTGAGCGACAAAGACCCAGTGCAGCCAAAAGTAAGTTAATCAAAAAATTGTTTGTAACATCAATCACAAAAAAATATGGCCATTCTATTGTTTCAGGGCTGCTGAGTCTAAAGAACACAGGGTCTCTTCCAAACTTCATACTGTGTAGCAAGTCAATTTTGAGACGTCCCATCCATTCAAAAGGCACGAAAGACTATCTAAGACATACGAGGGGGATGGAAGGATATATAAATGTTTATTAATATCAGCACCAACATCAAACTTAAAATTTCCTAAACACTTACATGCCAGTTCCCCACCGTATTTCTGGTCTTTATTCCTCCGCACGTTACATTACTACTTAAGACAATTATTCCCTTCCTGCCTGCGGGGTCCACACCCTCTCTTTTCTCTCCATCTGACTTTTTCTATGAAGCACTTTGAAGATCGCTTCTACCCTTGATGTGCCTTTCTGCAAGACTAAAGAGGCAGGAGAAAAAAGGAATCTCTTACCTTAAGGATTTAACCACATTTAAGTACAAAGTATTGGTTCTCAAAGGGTAGATTTTATGTTGAGTTGTTTGTGTGAGATCATTATCCCTTAGGGTACGAATTTAATCTCTTTCAAGTTTCCTACGAACTCAGTTCCTGTTGGATTGAAGGAATCAATGGCAACCTGCATTCAGCCTGACTGTGTGCAGCTCACCTATCCTGGGGGACAAACATCTCCAGGATACTAACTGAAGCCGTCTGCCTGGGCTTCCCTGGCAGCTCGGAAGGTAAATAATCCGCCTGCAATGCAGGAGACCTAGGTTTGATCCCTGGGTCGGGAAGATACTCTGGTGAAGGGAATGGCTACCCATTCCAGTATTCTTGCCTGGAGAATTTCACAGACAGAGGAGCCTGGTGGGCTATAGTCCATGGGGTTCCAAAGAGTTGGACAGGACTGAGAGAGAGTCAAACATGCTTTTTCTAGACTGCAGCCGTGTTTCCTGACTTTTTAAAATCCCATCCCCCACCCCCAGTCTTTGAATAACAATTTTTTCCAAGTGCCCTCTTCCACCATGAATTTTAATACCATAGAAATACTTCATGTCTATTTTTTTAGTGGAGGGCCACAGACCATTATGAACTGAACTGAACAGACCATTGTATTATTGAATTTTTTTTTTGCCTCTCATAGAACTAATATTTTCCCCCTTCAGGGTAAATATTGCTCCCATTAAAATGCATGTTCTAGAGACTTTTTAAAAAGTATATCATCTGATTTAACATGTTCCAGGACTGAACCCAACATTCTCTCAAAGTGAACCATCAAACCCAATTATGCCACTGTTCTGATTTCAGAAAAAGAAAGAAAGAAAGAAAGAAAGAAAGAAAGAAAGAAAGAAAGAAAAAAGGACATCTTTGGGCCTATCCAGTGATAGTTTTTCCAAAGAAGAGATCAAAATCCTTTTTTTTTCTGCGCTGGACCTGATCTATCTGCAGAACAAATGGCTTACTTTTTGGCTGTGGGTTAGCTTTTTACAATAGTTTCATTTGAGTGCTAGAAGAGGTAATAGATTGTCAAGTCCCTCGGGGACCCCCAAATAGCTAACTCTTCTAAAAGTCAACAATATATTCCCTTGTAAGAGGAGAATTAAGTTCATTATCTCATTAAATTTCTCCCAAACTCCAGAGTAAGATAGTGATTGGTGTTGCTATTCCCCTTTTACAAGCAGAGAAATAATGACATCGAGAGATTAGGTAGCTTAAATTAGGTCACAGGGACTGATGTTTCTTCATATAAATACCTTATCTGTCATACAAGGTTACGCTGAGGATTTCTAGACCTTATGTCTTCTGGTTCCTACTTTAATCTAGAATCATGGTACTCTGCTAGAGAAAAATTTAAAAAGGTTCTTCTGCTTCTGATGACCCATTTTCTCCATCTAACAACAGAAAAGCATAAGGTGCTAACAGATAAGAACTGACTGATGGGGAGAAAGGAAGAGAACTCAGGCTATTATTCTCAAGGTTTCTATTTTGCAAACAAATGGCTTACAGTCAAAGCTGTGGTTTTTCCAGTAGTCATGAGTGGATGTGAGAGTTGGACTATAAAGCAGGGTGAGCACTGAAGAACTGATGCTTTTGAACTGTGATGCTCGAAAAGACTCTTGAGAGTCCCTTGAACACCAAAGAGATCAAACCAGTCAATCCTAAAGGAAATCAACCCTGAGTATTCATTGGAAGGACTGATGCTGAAGCTGAAGCTCCAGTACTTTGGCCATCTGATGTGAAGCGCCGATTCACTGGAGAAGACCCTGATGCTGGGAGATTGAGGGCAGGAGGAGAAGGGGGCAGCAGATGAGACAGACAGCATCGCTAACTCAGTGGACGTGAATCTGAGCAGACTCGGGGAGACAGTGGAGGGCAGGGAAGTGGTGCAGTCCACGGGGTCGCAAAGAGTCAGACGTGCCTTAGGGACCGAACAGCAGCAACAGAGCACAGCGCACTGCAGAGGGAGGCACGCAAGCTTCTCTTCCTTTTCCATCGTCTTTCTGGGCTTAGATAAGACAGAGTAAACCATGATATATAAAGACTCAAATTAAGATCTCTCACAGAGGACCTCCCCGGCAGCCCAGTGGTTAAGACTCCGCACTTCCACAGGGGCCTGGGATCAATCCCTGGTGGAACTAAGATCCCACATGGCCAGAAAAAATAAAAAATAAAAAAGAATTTTTCACAGAGAGTCTTCAAGTAACATGAAAAATTCATATTTTATTTAGTAGTCAAAGAAACAGATCATGTCTTAGAACTATCCATACTTGAAACTCACCATAAAAGGGTGGGAGTCAGAGGTTGGCAAACCAAATAAAAACTGCTATCTAAAAGGACTCTTCTCTGTAAGCCAGACTTAGGTTCATTTCAATTCTCCCTGTTACATCCGTGTTAAAATTCCCTAAAGAGTAAGTGACTTCAAGAGATAAAGTCCATCTCAGGCTCTCAAGTAGATCTGTATGTAATTCATTTCTGAATACCAGAGTCTACTCTATTAAAACAAAGAAAGGATATTCTGAAACATTGCTTAGGAACCTCACATGACATTGTATAACATTATCTCTAATAAATTTGCCCACATATGTGACCTCTGTCCCTCACATTGCAATAAGAATTCATTCTTTTTTGTTTGAAGAGGGGGAGGTGAGCTAATGATGGGTTAAAGGCTTTAATTTTAATTGAGAATGCCCAGAGCCAAAAGAGACACCCCAGATCAATGAGAACACATTAAGGAGAATTTCAAAGTGTATTACATTCAGTTCAACTGGCTTCTGATACAGATACGCTTTTCTAGCCCCTTCTTTTGCTATA